TGAGGACGGCGAGAAGCGGAGGGTAGGGCAGGGGAAGGAAGACGGGAGAAATTATGTGCTGTAGAAATTTTAAAGATGCAAACAATGAATATTCCTGGCTAGGAAATTGGAAGAGGACGGGGCCCTGAAATTTTCTATGTGTTTATATATGCAGTTTGTTTGGCGTTGCTGACTATGGTGAAGTATCACGATACTTCGGTACTGTCTCCCAGCAGCAATTAAACATCGTCCGTGACAGTGGTAATTCAGTTTCACTGCGACACCACTTCTGATATATGAAATTGGACATGGAATACCAAGCTTACTGAGAAGAAAATTGGCAGTGATCCAAAAAATGTGCTATGAAACGGCATGCGTCGACAGATTATCAGATGAAGTATGCTACTGCTGTTCCAGAACTGCATGAAAAACAGCAACAAAGCAGTGTACGTAAGAAAAACTAGGCCGGTCTTATGGTGTAAGCAAGACAACAAGTGGACAAAGCAGATACAGGAGATGATACCAATGTAACGTTAATAACTGGCCAGCGCACCGATTGCCGTCTCGAAGATGCGTTTTTTTTGGCACAGTTTCCCGCAGGGTTTTTTGTCGTTAACGGCATTGTTTTTTTTCTCGGCAGATGTTTCCAGCCAAAAGAACTAAGACTGGTCACCAGTATTGCGAGAAAACATCTCCTCCAAATTTCAGCTTTCTAGCTTTTCAAGTTCTCGAATTAGCAACTTCCCGCAAAAAATTTTTACTGACCCGTACTTGGGGATCACGCATACCTAGAGGATGAGTTTGAACTCACTAAGTCCTACTTGAACGAGGAACATACCCTTAAAATTTCTAGCTTTTCAGGTTCCCGAGTTAGCGATTTATCGGCAAAAAAATTTAACGAGACCGTACGTGGCAACTACGCGGACAAGAGTGTCCATTTTGGGGATAGTGACCCGCAGATACATTTAGATTAAGTTTCCAAAATTTCAGCCTTGTAACTTTTGCAGGTTTCGAGATGAAAAATCGGCACAGATACACATACAGACACACATGCAGACAGACACACATACAGATATACATACAGACATATATACAGACATACAAACATATACACACACGGACAACCTCCCGACAATATGCATTTTTGCATTGCATAAATGCAAAAAACGCAAAAAAAAAAAACGATGATGCAATAGCTGAGGTAACGGAAAGCAATTCATTAGGGTGACTCATTCTTTACGATGTTGAAACAGCGATAAGTTCAATTTTTCGGTACCGTCAAAAAAAAACCCCCCAAAATGTGCTCATCAAAACTCGTTTCACACTTTTTTTTCGTTTTACACCGAAATCATCAAAATACACACACACACACACACACTCACACACATACGCACAGAAACACGCGCACACACACATACATATACAAGTACACACACATACGCACACATAGATACACACATACACATACATACAAACGCACACATATACACACCCACGCACACCGTTTTACCGCAAAACTTCTTGACTTTTGCTACAAAAAAAATGCACGAAAATGATTGCTTACATTTTCAGTGGCCGATAACTGTTCGGTACGATTGGTGGCACCGGGTGGTGTACCAGAGACAGCACCAGCACCGGAGAGAGACATCGAGACAGG